TAGGAAACGAACAGAAAAATGAGCTCGAGGAACAAATGAATCAGAATGAATTTTCACAGGTCTGTAGAAAATTTAAAAAAATCACTGTAGTAAAATATTTAATTTGTATGATGTCACAATGTGTTGCCATTCCCATTTAATAATTTTTTCACCCAAGTCGATAAATTTGTATAAATTTGACTTTTATCATATTTGTACGTTTTAGCCAGTTAGTTTGACCGAAGAACCAATAGGAGAAATTAAGAGACCATGGTACATGAGTGGTGGCAGCGTGAGGCCTGTATCACGAAGGATTTCTAGGAAAAAACGCAGACTGACTAGATTATTCCCATCGCAAGATTCTTCCGGTAATGTTAAAAATAAAATATTTATTTAAATCTAATGATAATTTTTTTTAATTCGTTATGATATTCATCTTTATCTATTCAGATCGCATAACTAATCAGTTAATGCACGTTCCTGATACTTATGATCCTGATGGTGAAGATTTGAAGACTATTTTACTCTATAATGGAGCTGGAGCTTGGAATGTTCAACTTGGGCGGGAGCAGTTTCTTCAAGCTCGCTGTCCAGTAAGGAAATAAAATATTATAATAGAATTAAACAAGAATAATATAACAAAATATTATTTCATCAGGTTGATAGATGCCGGTTGAGTGTTAATAGGGATAAGGCGCAACAAGCCGATGCCATTCTGTACAAGGATCATTTTACGCATCCAGGATTTCGGAGATCCCCGGAACAGGTAAAATAACTTTAATATCACAAGCAATATTATATATTAGGTTGTCAAATATCTCCCTTCCGCCTTTTTGTATTATAAACCAAGAGCAAAAAAGCGGAAGGGAGATATTTGACAACTATAAATTTTTTTTTTTTTTTTGTTACAATTAATTTTTGTTAACTATAAAAATGAATCGCAAAATGTGTTGGTATGCGCATAACTCAACAACGCCTGGACCAATTTGGCCAATTCTTTTTTTAAAATGTTCGTTGAAGTCCAAAGATGGTTCTTACGGCTAGAAAAAATCGGATAATTGCCGGGAAACCCCTAAAAACAGCCCTTTTCTTTTTCTCATACAAACGTTTTCTGACTAAAACGTAGAATCAAATTAAGCTTTATTGCTATTATATAAAGTTCATATTAAATTACAAGCACTCACTGATACTCCTTCTAAACATTTATTTGGATTTTGATAAATCTTTCTGAAGTTTGTTAAGGAAATTTTCTAGTATGTATGCGATTATAAAGTACTGGGATGTATGTGCAATTTTGTAGAAATAAATGGAAAAAATTGTAAAAAACGACATGTCATTGTTTGCATTGAAAACAAATGAAAATTATCAGTAGACAATATTAAAATATGTATAATATATTCATGATTATGAATAAGAAAAATGAAATGTCTACATTATTATTGCCAAAAAGCAGATAAGATGTGCCAGAAATTAAAATAATGTAAAATACAGTATTAATTTACCTAAAATATGAAATTAAGTATTATTCAGGGCAGGTCTTACCTTCAATGCGATGCATGCGAGAAATACGAGCGCACACCTTAGGGGGCGCCAACACAAGATTCGGATATTAAAATATAGGTTTTTTTTTCAATATATAATTTCTTTGCATCTTTTACTAATCTTTCCACAATATTTTTAAAATTCGTAAAAAAATTTCTTTAGAACATCAAATGGGAAAGTAAAGATGAATGCATACAAATCAGCCCTCACAACATCGATTAGGAGAAGTATAAGATGCAATTTTGGATATCTTAAATAATAAAAAATTAAATTAATTTAATCCAACATAAAGTACCAGTGCTATGTTATGGTTATGGTTATGTTATACCATTTAAAAAATTTGAATTTGCAATATAGTGTGGGAATTGAGACTCATCATTTTATTTAAAGCAGTTCTACATTTAACATTGCTCATATTATAAATGTATATGAATTTTGGCGTGAAGAATAATTTAAAAAAACAATAATTATTATTTTTAGGTAAACGATAAATATTAGTATATTATATTAAAAAATTGTAGACATGGGTACAGGACAACGTCTGTCGGGTCATCTAGTTTATTATAAAATCAATCTAATTATTGTTTTTTTTATCATTTGTGTCCTTTTTAGATTTGGATAATGTATTTTCTGGAGTGTCCTTATCACACACAACATATCAATTTTCCGGACGTTTTCAATTGGACAGCAACCTATCGTTATGACAGTGACATTGTGGCCCCTTATGAACATTGGGAATATTATGACCCTAGGGTCAAACAGGTAATTTATTAGATTTTTAAAAATTAAAATTATTATGTGTTAATGAAAAGCTGACTTAAGATTGAATTCGGTCTTTCTGTCTTGAGTCCAGTCATTATAGTAAGTTCATCTCGGAATTTGAGATACCCAGCTGTATGTCTGTAAATACTTGTATATTGACTCTCTAAGGTTGTCTCAAAACCTACATATGGATATGGTAGGGTGTACGTACCATATGTAGGTTTTGAGACAACCTTTAAATGTCAGACATACAGCTGGGTATCTCGAATTCCGAGATTCTTACCTAATTTAAGTTTAAATGACTGGACTAGTACCACTAGTAATTTTTTAGAAACATAAAAAAACTCATTTTAATAGAAAAAATCAATAATTGTTAATTAGTAGCCAAGAAAATAAAAGATTGAGTATACTCACTAAATTAGTTTAAATGAACTATATTAGGATAGAGCGAGGCTTAAAGGTCCGCTGGTAAGGTTTGAAGGTCCACCATTAATATCTCAAAACAAGTAAAGTTAAGAATTTTTTAACAACAATATTTGAAAGTAGAGGGCAAAAGAAGTATAACCTGACATCACCTTCATTCTTACGGCATTGCTATCATGAGATATTTGGCAATATTTGAAAATCCATCATAAAAGTATTTTATTTCGTTGTTAGTTTTTCTGGTAGTGAGCACTATTGTTTAGTTTACGAAGCTTTAAATAGTCCAGTCATTTTAAGCTCAAATTAGATAAGAATCTCGGAATTCGAGATAGCCAGCTGCAAGTCTGTAAATACTTGTATATAGATACTAAAAAGTTATCTCAAAATCTACATATGGTAGGTACACCCTACCGTACAGCTGGGTACCTCGAATTCCGAGGTAAACTTACTATATTGACTGGACTATTATATAATTTTTAAGTGTACTTTACTTAATTCTTTTATAAGATGTATTGTTAATTTTAAAAAGATTCAACAGTTTTTTGTATGATGTCTATAAAGGTTTACACGTGATTGGGATAAACAGAACCAACTGAACGTTTACCCTGACAAAGGTGTAAAAGATAAAAATAGGAAATAAACAAGTAAAATAAGTTCGAAAAAAATTATCAGAGTTAATTAGTTATCCAACTCTGCTGATGAATATTTTTGACTAAATAACAGATCAAGATTGTATACAGTCTCAATAAAAAATGTACCCATGAAGTTTATATTTTGCATTAGTTGAATAATTTAGCTATGACTTTGTAAAATCTCTTAAAATTAAAAATAAGATATTGGACCTGATTGCTTCCTGGCTGTCCCATTTTGTCCCGCCTATGGGTAAAAAGGGCCAGGTGACAAATTAAAAAAAAAAAAAACAATAATGAATTAGCTGGCAGTTTTACTGAACATAGTCATATAGTTGTTTGTTTTATATGTGTTATTTATCACGATATAATTAGCTTGGTTTTCACATTATAAATGCTCAAAGTCAAATTGGAACCTTGTGGCCCGTCCTACCCTACTGATTTTTTTCCTTTAGCTATACAACCTGCCGACCTATGTTTATTGAATTACTTTGATTATCTTTTCTTTAAGTTTAATTATAGGTTTTGTTTTAAATTATAGGTTAAACATATGGAACGAAACTATGCAGCCATTAAAACCAAGGCTGTAGCTTGGTTTGTTTCCAATTGCGGAGCAAGAAATGGAAGATTGCAATATGCACATGAACTGCAAAAGTATATACAGGTAAATAAATTTATTGGTAAATACATTATTCTCATTGCTCATCAGTAACGATTTATTATTATTATTTATTACTATTTTTAAGGTGGACATCTATGGAGCCTGTGGTACTATGAAATGTTCCAGAGCAAATGCCGAAAGATGCTTTGAGTTGCTCGATAGAGATTACAAATTCTATTTAGCTTTCGAAAATTCAAACTGTAAAGATTATATTACTGAAAAATTTTTTGTGAATGGACTGGGGTAAGTAAAAAATTACAAATAAATTTTGAATCAATTTATTTTTTAATCTTACAATTATTGATTTTTATTTGACTATTTTGTCTATTTAGTCGTGATATTTTACCGATTGTGATGGGGGCTCGTCCGGAGGATTATGAAAGGGCCGCGCCTATGCACTCTTATATTCATGTCGATGATTTCGAAGGACCCCGTCAGTTAGCGGAGTACCTTCATCGACTCGATAGAGATGATGCTATGTATAATGAATATTTCAGGTAATTCTTAAAATAGTTACTATTTTTATTACATTTCTTAGTCGGATTTAGTGGTGGATTTTCGGATCGAATCCAAAAATCCGAACTGGAAATCCAAATCGCGAAAATCACATCGGAATTATTACTTTACCCTTTAAAAACGATATTTACTAGGCATGGAAAAAACTCTCCATTAAACATAATATTAGAATAGTCTTTACCTCAGATAACACTTTTTCAACATTACTCACTAAATTAAATTCGAAAAATTAAATTAAATTAATTAAAATCTAAATTCGATCCGAAAATTTTAAGTCATTTAGTATACAAATTAAATTGTCTAAATCATCAAGTTATAAGGAAAAATTTGCTTCGACATACGAACGTGCTTATCTAAACTCCTATATCCAAGGCGCCACTGTAAATTCGCATTATTTGGAAACGGGCTATTTTGATGTTTACATAATTTTTTTCCAATATTAACTACCCTAGTTATAGTAATGGGCCGAAAATCAAAAATGAAACTTTTTGCATTTCTCGACGTTTTGAAGGTTTCTGAAGATTTTGACATACCTCAGAAAAAATGGATGTGTGTGTGTGTTTTGTTTGTCCGCATTTTTTCGTCCACGTTTTCGGGCGCACCGATTAACCGATTTGAATGGTTTAAAAAACATTCAATTCCTATTGATAGGGAGATGTGCTGATTAGTTTTTGGCAAAGGCAGGTCCAGCCGTTACGGAGATACGGGGCAAAGAGTGCAGAAAATACAAATCGAGTTTTTGAGAGAACGGAGTATCGGATTTGAATGATCTAAAAAACATTCAATTTGTAATAATTGGGAGAAGAAGTGATTAGTTTTTGGCAAAGACAGGTCCCGCCATTCCGAAGATACAAAGCTAAATGTGCAAAAAATGGCATTTTTTGAGTGAACTAAGCGTCCGATTTGAATTATCTAAAAAACTTTCTGCTGGTATTGACAAAACAATTGCTTTTGAGGATAAAAAATTATTACATCTTTTCCTATTTTCCATAAAATATTTTTGTAATTTTGGATTTTGGACCCAGGCTAAACACAGTCTAAGCGCCACAAATGTTTACCCAAGTGGGTTTAGACTCTTATGTACTGGAGCACTTTTCCAATTTTGTGAAAACTATTGAAAAATGTGAAAATGTCGCCAAGCTAAGCACAGTTTAAGTGAAAATGTCGCACAGAATTATTTGCAAATGCGTTTAGACTGTGACTATACAGGAGCACTTTTTCAATTTTGTGTAAATTAGGCAACTGTTTTTTTTTTAAATTGAATTCTAGAAGAAATGACGATTATTAATGCTCTGCAGATAAATTGATTTATGATTTACATTTGATTTGCTCAGATATAACAAGAACATATTTGAAAACGTTTAAAATTTCTCGAATATTTCATTACGGTGCGGGAAGTTCCAGCAATTTGCCTTAAGGCACGATGCCATACACCACTAGTTTTAATACATTTCATTGTCTTTTACCCAGGTGGAAAGGTACCGGTGAATTAATAAATACATATTTCTGGTGCCGAATGTGCGCAATGCTGCACGCCGAACCACGCCAATACAAAAGTTATAGTGACATCAACGACTGGTGGCGAGGAAGAGGAATTTGCACTCTGAACTCTTGGAGAAACAGGGATCATCATGCACATTCTAATAAGGCTCGTTCAAATTCACTTCAGAATTAATTTTTAGTATTTTAAATTAAACACCGGGATAGATATTCACCAATCATTTTCCATGCTAGATTTTACCAAGCATTTAAATGCAAGCGTACCCATGATTAAATGCATTTTTAAAGCAATGGAAGTTCTATGGCCAATGATAATATAGCAATACTGTGCCATTATAATTTTCACAAATTTTGCTTAGTCTTATGCATTCGTTGGTAAATTTAATAACATTTGTTTTCAATAAATTATGTAAATTTTGATTTTTTTAAGTGAATTGTTTTTACATATTAATTTTTGAGAAAGTCCGCTTTTCACTTTTAAACCAATGTTTTTTACTCTAATTTTTATACTATTTTTGACAAAATAAGTCTTAAAGCCAAAGTAGGCCAAATATAGTAAACTAGTATTTTATCTAATTGTCGTTCAATATGCATTATTGATATCATTTTAGACCACAATTATGGTTTTTGTGGTTTTAAATACATTGTGCTAATAATATAGAAAACCGTTTGCATTTATTGATTTATATTTAGATTTATCAATATGTGACTTTATCACATAAAGCCATTAGTATGCAATATTTTATATAAAATTATATGAGCCGTTGTCATAACAATCTGTAACCATAATTTTATATATTTTACAATATGTATAGATAGATATTATTTTTCTTTGTTTCTTAACTATTAGATAGTTTAGATAGTGCCCCCGTGTATTGATGCACAATAGATGTACAAAGTATTTATACCAAAATGTTATTTATATTAGTTTTAAGTAAAATTATATTTATATTATTTTTAGTTCTAATTTATTTAGAATTTAAGAACAAATATAGTCATGCAGAAGTATTCACGTTATTAGGAAAAATGATATTGTGGACTGTTAAGAGTAAATATAAAATTAATTAGTTTCTTGCAACTAAAACAAGCCTATTGAGAAAGTTTTCTCTTGCAATTTATTATTTTAAATTAATTGTAAGACATTAATATTTTTAAAGACATTCTGAAATAATACTTTATTCCAGATTATTTACGATATACTGCTGATGAAACAAAGTATTATGTCCAAGATTCGCAGTTTGAAATTTGGAATATAAGTAACATCAATTTATATTATATGTATTCAAAATGAACATATTTCATTTATTCTATAGATATTAAACTATTTTGATTTTACTTTTTTACAGTTGATTATTAATTATGAAGTTTCAATTATCATAAGTATTTTATTAAATATCTTTATATACTTTTGCAGACATGACGACTAATTTTAAATATAAATCAACGTAATAAAGTCAATATTATTTAAGAGTAATTTTACAATCTAGTCGTAGTATGGGTATTACTCGGTTTGCATTGAATTAGTAATTTTTAGTTCGTGATTTGAGAAACTGATTTCATTTAAATGTATATATGTAATTATAATATATAAATAGTACTTAAGATGTATGTAAAATTTATTATTGAATTGTCATATTTTTTATTTGACTTGATTATTAAATGATTATGATGATTTTATGTTTTCTTTAGATATTAGCATATTATATTTATATTAATGGTATATAGTTTTATTGTTTTGGCACCTCTTATATTATTAGTAAAATAATTATTTTAGTTATAAGTTTTGAAATTTGAATTTCACGCTCTCAACTTCATGTCAAAGTTCACATCGCATTGGTGGCGCTGGCGGCCACCATTTTGTGCACGAGTATCATGGAGATTTTGGCGAAAATGGCACTTGTGTTAATTAGTATTCATATTCGTAACAAGATATAATTTATTTATGCCTTGTGTTGTTTTATTAATTAAAATTTGTATATGATGAATAGATGAGTGTCAAAGTCCTTAAGTCTTCAAACGATGATAACTATTTCATTCAGGCACTTGATTCTAACCTATACTCGAATACGTTGTTTGCAGATTGCCATGTATTCTTTAAATAAATTCATGTATACAATTGTCATTTACGTAATGTAATATATGTACGATTTTAAAGGCTAGCAACAAAAGTTTCAAACATTTATAAATCAAATCTATTAAATTAGTGTTAAAAGTAGTTTTTGCGAAATAGTAATTCAATGTCCAGTGTTGGGGCTTCTTACGGCTGCTTTGATGACTTTTTTCAATGTGAGTAATCATTTTTTTTACACAACACAACATGTTAATATTTTATTGCACAGCATGTTAATGTTTTATAACATACAAAATATTAAGCATGTGATTTCCTAAAATTAAGACATCGTCAGAATATTTGCTCACTTTTTTAATAATTTTGGTTGTTGATTTATTTATTTAAAGCGATTACATAGTAACATAATTGTTTCAAAGCTAACGGCAAAATTTTGAATTCTTGCACGTTAATATATCAATCTTGCTATATATTAACTAAAATTATTTTTCAGGCTCCTTCTCTCCTTCTTTCGTCGAGTGCGAACTTTGTTTTTTTTTTTCAGAAATATTCTAAGTGTGAAATTCGAAATGCGTCACCTGAACTTAATATTTTGAACCGATATTAAAAAACTATACATTTGAATTTTCAAGCGCTTTTTCAAGAACTGAGGCGGATAATCGGTTATACAAAACTGCTTTCAATTTCTAAAAATATAAAGCATATTTTTAAGGGAAAAATATAATTTTCCTAAAAATATTTTATGCCAGTAGTCGAATAGCCGAGGTCGTAAGAACACGGTTTCGCAATTTGAGTTTCCTCTGTTCAATTCCCGACAAAGCTGAAAAAAAATAAATTCAATAATTTTTAAAACTAAATAAATAAAATGTATAGATAAATAATTAGGTTTATTGAATGTCAATAATGAGCGTAAGCATGTCAATATAGCTGAGTTGGTTGGCGCGTCACCGCAATTTTCGTTCGCGTTAGTAGATAAAAAAGTCAAAACTGATCGATGCATAGATAAAAGAAGAGTTGGCACGATGCCTTACGCCCCACTGGTTTATTACTATTTATAACATTTTCTTTAATATCGTTTTTCTTCAACATAAAACGTATGAAAATCACACATTGATATCCATAGATAATACAATAAGGTCTATGGTAGCCATAGATAAAAATGGTAGCCTCCCGTAGTTCACATTTAATCTGGCGCTGCAGTCACACAACACGAAGGAAAGGTTGCAGTTTGTCAAATGATAATAAACAACTTCAGGTCAGTAGCTAATGCCATTTTTATAAGTGTTTATAAGGTTAGGCGTCTAGGCTTAGGCGTTCAGTTCAGTTGACTGAGCCTGTAGGAGGCAGATGTCTGTTTCTTTTTTTTAAATATATAACATTTATGGTATAGTACTAACTATTAGCACAATAATAAACAACTGGAGTAAATATTTACTAGTTAAAATTAGCCCTTTAAATAAGGTATAAATTCTTTTATTTAAATTCATATTAAAAAGGCAAGTTGAAAATGTCTAGAAGAAGACATAAAGTCAACAAAAATATGAAATCAGGTGAATGTTCTGTTTTTATAATGAAAATAATTATAGATTTTAATATTTTCAAAATGTATATTTTGCCAAAAATTGTTAACCTATCTTTTTGTTGTTACTATTTTACTTTATTTGCTAGCCACATAATATGAAAGTCAATTAAAAACTTGAATTCGCAACCCTAACTTGTGAATTAGTTTTCAATAATATAATAATATTGCAATATCAGTATGTCTTATGTAGACTGAAAAGTTATCGATAACGTTTAGAAGAAGATTTATTATCATGATTAATAATTTTGAATATTTTCAGATAACTCCCGAACCAAAACCAGTGTTAAAAGAGGAAGCAAATTTGGCAAACAAAACAAGAATAACGAAAGAATTTGCTTCAAATTTTTTTCCTTGTCAGATTTCTTAATCCACGAATCTAAATACAAGAATCTACTAACTGCGGAACAAACTAATATATTTCAAGATGAAGATCATATACATCCTTTGGATCCAATTTTAATTAACACTTATAAAGATTTATTAAAGTTACCTGTTTTTATAAAAGACCAAAATAAATTTGATCGTGATATTGAATACGATATTCAACCAATTATAAAAAATATTAAAAAAGAGATAGATTATTCCATTGAGAATGAAGAAGAAGGTCTAGAAAATTATGATAATGATAGCAAGACTCAGATACAATCTCCTGGTGAACAAACTTGCCTTCAAAGGTTTTTAGAATCTGAGATAAAAATAGAGTATAATACTAATGCACCAGATGAAAATAATTATTTTTTTAACAGTTTGTATAACAATACTAGAGCAAATGAATGTATTAAAACAGAAGCTTTTTCTGACGATGATAAAAATAATTATGACGAAATAACATCCGAGTCCAACTTGCTACATATACCTGACATTAAAAATGATTCAACAATAAAAATAATAAATAAATATCATTTAGAGACTAATTCTTGCAATTTTCACAAGATACCCTATTGTTATTCGGAATCTGATTCAAATACTTTGGAAATGAAATATGCAAATAATGTTGTTATTCAAACAAACCATGATTCGGACATAAAAGAACATAGAGACATTTCAAAACAAATTTCTAATGATTATGATTGTAAAGAAATTAAGAAAGAACCAGATTGTAGTGATAATGGATTACATGGGCAAATTGAACTTAAATGCAAATCAGAAAGTGTATATAAACTTCCAATCATTACTGAATGTTACTCGATTGAAGTATCAAAATGTGTAAGCAATAAAATAATTTCCGATGAACAAAGCAATAATAGAAAGTTTCTTGAATCGGAATTGAATGCAACAGACTATAAAACACATCCAATTCAAAAAGCGACTGATCACAATTCTGCTAATGAAAGATGTATTAATATACATAAAAATTCTAACATAAATCAGAATAGCGTAATCAAAAGAAAGGATGCTGTTTATAAAAGTCATTTCTATGACAAACGATATAAAGAATTTGTTAGAAAATTTAATAATTTACGTTCAAATGGTTTTGTTTCCAAGAAAAAACTGTCTGATGAGAAAGTAAACAGAATGAGACCAATTAGGGAGAATATTCACAAAGAAACACTCAGTTTAAATTCATCATATAGATGTGATACATGTGAAAGTGTTTTTAGCAAAGAATTTTTATTAAATATTCACATTGAATCACATAACACTGTAAAGCCTTTCAAATGTATAATTTGTAACAAATGTTTTGTACGGGAAGAATTACTTATCAACCATTACAATATACATACAGATGGAAATAAATATGAATGTGATCTTTGCTATAAAATAATTGTTGGAAAACCTGCACTAGAGTCTCATATCAGTACTCATTCTTCAAGTAAAACATAGAAATGTGAGATATTTGACAAAGTTCTTTCAATATTAGTCATCATCCCGGTGAACCACTCGATGAAAGCAGTAAATTGAATATGGTTTGCGAGTGCAATATTAGAACATTTCTATGAGATAAACATCTCGAAGATGTTAATTTGGGTTGAGCATGCCAATCAAATTATAAACTGAAATTTGCATAATAAAATATGCACATGGGAATTAGAAGCATATAGTTGGGCTTTGGAGTAATGTGATAAAATCAAATGTAGGCGTTGAGTTTATAATATTTAGTAATATTTAATAGTAGGCCAATTGTACTGTTTAATAATATCGAAGCAAGTGACAGTATATTTTGATTATGGGAAATTCACTGCCTAAATTATTTAATATATTTATAACACATGACTGATTTATTTGTAAATGTTTGTATATACACACTAATTTTAGAAAACCATTCAATGTGCTCACACACATCTCATATGATCAATCAAATCTCAATGGTTATTTCTATTAAACTACTCCTAATTTAAATATTACTCTGCCTTGTATAAAACTTTTAGTAGATTGCTCTAAATGATAACATAGAGATTGTAAATATACTTAATTTTAACCTCAGAAATAAAGTAATATAATTGAGTGCAATATAATTGAGTTATTAACTTGTAATTTTTTCAACACATTTTATCTAGTCATTCAAGTGTAAATTTTCACAAAAGATTAATTTTTGTAGAATATAGTAACAATTCATTTCCTCATCATCACATAAATGAAAAAAAAATTTTTGCTTAATAAAAACAATAACTTATTATTTAAAATAACGTAACTTGAAATCATAATGACAGGACCGCCAACTGTAATAATTTCGTATACATTGGTTTCATTGCAAACTTCAAGCCAAAGTAAAATCAACTTTTGAAGCACATACAGATAATTTAACGGATCACAAATTGTTCTAATATATTATTTATATTAAATTTTTTCATCATTCTATTCTATTTGTACTTTTTTTTAATTTTCATGTATATTTCGTCTAGTGACTTTTTCGACAGTTCAACGTGCATGTTGTAACGATGTTAAATATTATTATCGCCATGTAATAACGTTAGTGTTAGTTGTGTGTATGTGGTGCTACAAGAAGACAATTCCAGCTTAAAGGTTAGATTATGTAAACATAAGCTATTTTCCCCATATACCAGTATACCACGTACCCATAATTCCACAATAGTATAATAATAAAAATTATTAGTTAGGGAACATGGCTGTTTGCAAATACAGTCATGTTCACAAATACTTGTAATTATTATAAATCATTAAATAGGTTTCTTGATAAAAGTAACCTATAGGTTATCACAGGTACTTTAGCGGACGAATGGAGTGCTAAAGTAACCCTCGTATTGAGAAGCGATGCTATTATTATAATAATAACTAGAGATTACCTCAAACCACCAATCGTTACAATATTGTTTCCTGTACATTTTACTAATCATGTTGTCATTTATAAAGAAAAATCCTGATTTTTTTGCAATTTATAATATCCATTTGCATTTTGATAGATAATGCAATGATTTCACATTTCACACAAACTGATGTAATACAAAGTTGTTTTTAGTTATATTGTGTATTTAACATAGTAACCAAAATATGGAAACATCCAATGTAGAATATATTTTCATTAATACCTAACATATGAAACATAACATAGTTTCTTTTCTAGCTTTCATTGCAAATTGAGATTAATAATTTAATTCCGTGAATCTCTTTTTATTAAAATAATTTAATTATTTATTTTCTAATTCTTGACATTCATTATATATATAATTTATTGTTCTTATTATATTCTATTAAAATACGATTTTTTACTTATCTCATAGCATAGATTTTCCTGTCAATTTGAAAAAGATTCTTTTTGAAATATATTAATTTGCTTGTTATTATTTTATTCTAATAACCAACATGCAATACATGTTTATGTATTTTTAGATAACCAAAACTAGTCAGAAATAATTTAATCGTCAAATTTAAATATACATATATTAGCAAAGGCAAATTCAAGGTATGGAAATACCACATTTTTACTCATTTTCTCTTCCTTGCTTACAATTTACTTCTTTATATACATTTTGATAAATACACCCACTCACTAACATATATTTTTAAGTTCTGATGAGTAGCTACTATAATTTCATCCATTTCATTATAATATAATATTTCTTTCACTCTAAACCTCAACATAAACATAATTGAATAAACTATGTATGAGTGTTCCACTTGCAACATTGAACTAATTTTATTCACGCAATGTTTGTGTAAAATGTTTTTTAATATGATTTGTTAATGTACGATTTTGACAAAAGGTTTTTTTGCAAACACTGCACTCATAAACTTTTTCACCAGTGTGAGTACGAAGATGAATACTCAATTGATACTTTTGTGTAAATGATTCTTCACACATATTGCACTCAAATTTCTTCTCCCCATAATGAGTTTTTAAATGTTTTGTATAATTTCCTAAAGCATTATATGCTTTTTGACATATTTCACAAACGTAAGGTTTTTCACCTGTATGAGAGCGCAAATGTATGGTCAATAAATACCTTTGAGAATATCCTTTCTTGCAAAATTCACATTCAAAGGGCTTCTCTCCAGTGTGTGATCTCAAATGGCTTGTCAAATGACTATTTTGCACAAAGGATTTATGGCATATATCACATTCATATGGTTTCATACCAACATGTAATTTTACATGCCTTCCTAGATTTCCTCTATCAGTGAAAGACTTCTTACATATATCACATTCGTGGGGCTTTTCACCAGTGTGGATGCGCAAATGTGTAGTTAAATGAATTCTTTGAGTAAATGCCTTCTTGCATACATCACATTCATAAGGTTTCTCACCTGTATGCGTTCGTAGATGATATGTTAATTGACTACTTTGAGCAAAAGATTTTTTACAAATATAGCATTCATATCGTTTCACAACTAGCTTAACTTTTCTTCGAGACACTTTTTCATTTTGACCCTTATTTAGGTTGTTAATATTGAAAAAACCTTCAGTGACACCACTAGTTTGTGGTGTACTATCATTTGTTTCTTCTCCAATTGTTGCAACACAGTTTTCAATTGGCATAATAGTATCATCATTAGATTCGGATGATTCAATTGTATTATCTTCCATATAAGTTTCTAAAGCTATGTTTTTATGTTCCCCATTTTCTTGAGATCTTTTATTATATGTTTCAGTATGGTGAGAAGTTATTTCTGTTTTGACAGCAGCTTGTGATCCTGCTAGAGTATTTGTTGCATTGTCTTCTATTTCTGTTCTGTTAATTTCTCTATCACGTTTTGACAAATCCTTTTCAACATCTATGGAAACAATTTCGGATTTAACATTATTACCTTCACAACTTTACTAATTTCATATTAAATGTATTAAAATCCGCATTAATTATTCAAACACTAGGATGGAGTTCTCTATTGTGCATATGTTTCAAATTAATTAATTTTAATATTTTTGAAACATATAGTAAAAAAAAAAAAAATCAAATATGTTACATATTAGAACAAGCGTTTCATTAGTAAAAAGGGTTTGAATAGGAAAAGTACTATATTCAAATCTTTTCATACCTGTTGTTTCACATTTAATAAAATTAGAATCCTGACTAACTACATCGTTTTTTGACATTTTTCTTGAAATTTATTAAATTTCTTCAATAACTGTAATGCAGTAAAAGTTAAAAATCCCATAAAAATCATCAGTTCTAATACATTTAGTTTCTTTCCTATTGTTTACTATTTATCTAATAAAGATACATGAAAATTGAATTAGATCAATAAATATTGACAGATGACATTTCAACAAATACAATATAAATACAAGATGGCGTTTATGTGTCAAAAATTCAAAACAAAAAATTCAAATCAAAGTGAACTTAGATTATAATAGCATTATAAGTAATGAATAGAATGAATATTTATAATTTTTATTGAAATTTCTACAAATAATGAATAACTATAATAAAAGCAACAAAACATAACCAAAATAAAAACGAATTTTGACATTTCAAGAAAAACATTCCCAATAACACCGCTGCATAATAATAATTTAGTGACAGATGCATAAATGACTATGTAAATATGATTTCAGTTATTTATGCAGTTAGAAGTTATATTTATTTTATAATTGTTTTAACGTCTTACGGCAATAGGTAACATTAATGCAAAATCAAAAATATCACTCACCACACAATGGCTAAAAGTACTGAAATAATAAATTTTGCCTTCGAAAAGACCCAAGTTAAACAAGAATTGATTGATCCTGAGGATAACGCAGTAAATGTTAAATTAGAACCATACTTTGATAATGAAGTTTATTTGAAAAGATTTATGGAATCTGAAGTAACAATAGAAGAAGAAATCAAACATGAGTATAGTGAATTTGAAACGAATAACATATTGAATGAAATCAAACAAGAAAGTGTTGAAAATGAAAATATATTCCAGCCTAAGGAAAAATTACATAAGTGCGGGATCTGTAAGGAAACATTCAATTTGCTTGATAAGATTGCAAAGTTCTATCACACCAATTGTTTTCGTGCAGCCAAAAAAAGCTTATTCAAATGTACACACTGTGATAAAAGTTTTTCAACTAAAAATGGCTTAAATTGCCATATTAAATACCATGCAACTAAAACTTACAAATGTGAAACTTGCAATAGAACATTTGCAAATTGTATTTCTATGCATGTCCACATGGCCAAAATTCATGCTAGAGAAAATCAACACATATGCTTAATTTGCGATAAAGCATATTCCACAGGGGAGATTTTAAAAAGGCATATGAATACCCATATTGAAATGAGGGCATTTGAATGTATGTATTGCAAGAAGAAATTTGCAATAAAAAGGACCTTTGAAAGACATATGCAAATTCATACTGGGGGACCTTTTTATTGCAAATTTTGTGATAAAACTTTTGGTGATATTCAGGAATTAAAATCACACATAACAGTTCACACTGAGGAAAGGCCTTATGAATGTAAACTTTGTGATAAAACGTATACTGGCTTGTATGGTTTAAAAAAACATATGAAACTCCATTCTAAAGAAAAGCTTTTGAAATGCACTTTTTGTAGTGATACATTTTTAGAAAAGGATGAATTTGGAAAGCACATTCAGGAACACTTATGAAAATATATTATTTTAACTATATCATACTAAAATATCTACTGTTTCTTCTAATGATTTTTTAGTATTATTATAGACGTCTACAATAATAAAATTGTAACAGGAAATAACTTTTGCTATAGAAGAATGCAATCTAAACTGATAAACTGATCAAATATTTTCCATTTATTAATTTATTGCCTAAACAAAAATAAACAGATATGAATGTGCATGCCAATATCAATTGATAGTGTTTTTTTTTAAAGCAAATAAAACATAAGATTTATAAGTGTCATATTGCCTTAAAAATAAAAATTATGTCTGAAGAATTATCATGCGTTCAAAAATGTGGCCGGTATAGTTTTATTACAGTTTGGTGGACTGTTTTCATAACTATAGCTGCTTTGATAGCCTACATATTATATACTATCGAAAAACATTTTTCAGCGCTTTCTATAGTTTTCAAATAATGTATTAGAGAGAGATGTTGATTACTGTTGAAGTTGCTCAGATCAAATGTAAGTCAATGAATGTGTGAAATGAGTAAGCTTTTTAAACATAATTACTTGAAAAAATATCAGGTGTCACAAAATATGAAATATGCAGCAAGAACAAAGATAATAGAAAGTTATTCATTGAGAAGACTGAATATTAAAAAGCAAGTTGTTACAGTACAATGGGGCATGTTTGTCGTATAGTAATTTTAATAAATAAACAATGTATTATTTGAAATAAAAACTTAAAGAATGATTAATTTATTTAACACTGTTTCATTAAATATATTTAGATGTAAAAATCTTAATTTCAGCATGGGCATTTTACAAAAATCGTAACATTTCAAATTATTAATTAATATATTTAATAATCGATAATAATGATATTCAAATATTATAAGCAAAAATTGAAATAAAATTTAAATTATTAGATTGTATAAAACCTTTCATATTTAAAGCGTTTAACTTCTGTATGATTGACCCTATAAATATATTAACAATGTAACAAAGTTAATATTAATTTTTATGATTTCAAATATTATTTTAACTTAGAAAGTTGATATATGTACCAGGGCAGATTCTTTAAGCAACACACCAGACCTAACTTTTAACTGAGAGTTCATTTACTAATGGAAATTCTATTTACTTTTGAATTAATTTTATGGTGGATCTTCAAAAAGTTAGTTATTATCATTCAGTAGACAAAAAATAAAATACACATATCTAATCGTTTAATTTAAAATTAACCCTTTCCACTCGCGAATTGCGAGATTTATCTGAATTATGTCGCCGGAGCGGCGGCGTCCGAGTCGAAAGGGTTAATTGGAATGAGCAATGTGTACTTTATATCTTCACTAGAAGCAAAACGCATCGCAGGGGATATAGCTCAGCCGTAGAGCGTTCAACTGTCATGCACTGAAAGGTCCCAGGTTCAAATCCTGGTGTCCCCGTTATATTTTTTTTTATTTAAATTTAAAAAAGAACTTAAGAACTAAAGAACTAAAGTAAATGTCCATAAAAAGAACTAAATTTATGTAAAAAGTGAAAATGTAATCGTGTTTCTTTAGTTGGTCATATTCATCAATCATTGACATACAAAAAATACATAAAAAATGTATAAAAACAACTTTAAATATTACTAAAAACCCTTCGAATAATTCTTGAATTAAAAATTAAGTATTACGCATTCAATAATAATATAGAGAATCGTATTATAAATTAAATTATAGAGAAAATTAAAAATTCAAATTCAAATAAAAACATTTAGGGCGCCAGGATTGGAACAAGGAACCATTCGAGTGAAGTTGAACGTTAGTACTAAAATAATGTTAATGACAGTTAAATAAATCACAATAATTTATTTAATTGTCATTAACATTAAAAATAATAAGTACATAGTAATATTGTCATTGAATATAAAATTATATTATATATTATAAATTTGAAACAAATTCATATTGTTAACCATGGTAGTTTTTTGATTATGATAAAGCCATTGTAAATTAAAAAGACGTGTAAAGTGCAGTGAACTTTGACAATTACTTAATGTCGGTAAAAATCAAAATAAAAATGTTTATTGATCAATACATATATATATTTACATATAAACGATCGTGAAATGAAATAAAAACGTATAAATCTTTAAATACTTAATTTGCTAATATTTATACTTTAAATAAAATTTGGTAGTGGTAGTGCAAACTTTGAGTGATTTTGGGAATTGGATTTTGTAGTTCTATAAGTAAGCATTTTTCACTTATTTATACATTTATTTATTTTATTACATTTAAAAATTTAACCATTTAATATTTCGTATATAAAAGTCTCAATACTAGAAATAAATAAACAAAGTCAGGTGAGCCGGCCGTATCAATAAGTAACAATTTTATAAATTTCATAAATAAAAAATAAAAAAAAAGTTTCGGGGATACCAGGATTTGAACCTGGGACCTTTCTTTTCTGAATACAGCTGAATGCTCTACCGCTGAGCTATATCCCCAACAAATTAGAAACGATATTTCAGACTTATAATACAACAATATTTCTAATGACTCATTCTTTATTCGTATATGGCGTTTGCGCAAAAAAAACATATTAGTCCGGGAGGCTGAGACACCCAAACGAAATAGTACTACATAAACGACACGAACATTTTGAACATTGAAAAATTACTTAATTTTTATACAATACAAGCTAATTAGCGTTAAACTTTCAGTTAAATTGTAATTGTGTTGTAATATATTGTAAAAATACGTTATTTTCATTCTGAGCTTGTGTCAGAATTAATACAATTACTGAAAAGTTTAGTGCACTAGCATTAGCACCCATTTGGCTAGATCATTTTTAAATATAATCTTCAATATTGAAGATGTTCAATATATCTCAATATCAATATCCACTAATGATGACACTATATCATTAACGTAATATATCGAAATGTATAAAATAAACACTATTCTTAATTTTTTTTACTGATTTTTTATCCCTTTGAATTCACAAATTGTCTACATTAGTTGGAACCCCAAAACTTACTACCGTACACATTTCTGCATATTTGTAAGAAAAATTATGGTATTTGGAAGAAATTTTGCATTTTAACTGCATAAAAACTCTATTTGTATATAATGAGCTTCTTATTCGTAGAAAATATTCATAAAACACCGTGATAATTGAGATCTTAAAATACTGATTGTGAGTAAATGCTTACCTTTTCTTGCAACAAATATGAAGCACACGTCTAAATCTCAGTTACAATAATATTTGATTAGGTACTAGATTTATGAACTAAACTACTTTATTTTTCGAATTGCATACATATCCATATTTATAAAACATATCCAAATGCATAAAATGATTTTTAATAATGTAGTACAAAAAATTACAAAAACACTTTGTAACTGAACTTTTTTTTATAAAAACTCATCAACACAATTTAATGCAAGAGTAATAAAAAGTTTATAATCCATATAAAATATTTGTTCTCTTATTGTTAAAAATTTGCCTTCAATTCAATGTAGAAATAATAAATTTAAATGTAAATATAAAATATTTTTTCTATTGAACTGTTGCTTTGCAAAATAGTAATAAAAAATACATTTGTTATGAGCATTTATTTTCAGTAGATTCAGCAGGATTACAACTGCAATTATAGATAAATCAATAAAACTTATGAATAATATTAAAAATTTGATACAAAATCAAAATTTTCACAATATGGTTTCTATCAACCTCTATAAATAAAAGACACCATCTAATTTATTATTTTAATTAGTTGAAGCTCTTATTTATAATTTAAATAATTTAGGATACAGTCTCAGTTTAAGACATTAAACACAAAAACATTTACATTTGGTCATAACTTTTTTTTTGCTGTTAGGTAAATTAAGTACAAATAATTAAAATTAAAAATTGTTGTTGAAAAAATGAATCAACAGTTAATGTTTAATACTTAAGCCTTTCTGTTAATACTTGGATAGAAATTTTATAATATCTGAAGAAATATATGAACAGTCTGAATTAAATATTGAAATCATGAAGAGATAGATTAGGAAATAATTGTTTGTGTTTCGGACAACAGTTATTATAGTTTTTTTATACTCTCCAATAGTTACGTCATATGCAAATATGCCACATAATTATTGTTTAAACCTTTGAGAGAATATGAACTATTTTCATCAATGACAATAAAGCTTTCAGAAATAAACTATTATAAAATAATAAGATCATCACATAGAGTTAACTTGGTCAAATTATGTTATAATCACGTATTATGTAAATTTGAATTGACATAGTTATTTTGTTCATTAATATTGTTCATCCACTTATGAGATTTAGCAGTTTCACTATTGACTATAATAAATAATTCTTTTTCCTTATTTCGCAGTTCGCTTTTTAAAAACTCAATTAATTCACTTTCGCTTCCTATAGGCTGTGGCGAGGTCAACTTTGAATCTAAGTTATAAAAAGTTCCTCTTATAGATTTAATAGCTATCCAATGTCTTCGCCTTAAAGGAAGCATTACAAAACCGAGTTTGTAATCAGAAGGTACATTTAGTATAAATCCACAAATATTTTGAACATTTAAATGACTAGGATCCTTTCTTTTATCAAACCAAACTGCTTCGAATCCTTTGGTTTGCAAAGCAGCCATAATTACATTAATATCATAGTTTCCTAATCCTAAAACAGATTTGTGTGGATTTATCCAGACATCTGGTGCTAAGGAATTGCATATTGTATCCAATTCCCTTTTATTGAAAAAACCTTCGACTTGGAATAGATTGTTTAGAGCGTGCAAAGCACATAATTCTCTTACTTGCCGCTCGTGGTAAATGCTTGTTTGGGAACTCATAGTCTGTGAAAAATCAAAATATAGTATAAACAAATAATGTCAATTTTGTAACAAATCAATAATATTATGGAAATTTTGTTAATTATAAAAATATTAATCATAACAAATAATTACAAAAATGTTCAAATTATTGTAAATACCTATGTTTGACTATTCATAAAACAAATATTACATAATATTTAATTATGTTTCCAAAAGTATAAATTATTTTTCTTACAAGAAGAAAGATATTAGGACTTAGTTAGATTTCTTGATAGATACTATAGATTCAAACAATAGCTTCAAAATTAAGAATAAAAACGTTAAATTTATATAGTTTTTATTTATCTTTTGGACGTTTAATTTCAAAACTTTAATTAATTATATTACATAAAAAGTATAAATAATTGCGCATAAAAGAAATCAGGATATTATTTATTGAATACCTTAAATTTTGATTGTCATTGGTATTATATTAGTAAAAATTTCATTTTGGTTCACGTTTTGAGCGCATTTTGAAAATATTTGAATAATTTTGATATAAATCTTTTACGATGAAATAAATATGATTTTGACAGACATTTTTTACAACACTGTTGTCATAATTGAAAGTGTTGCCATATGATGTTTTCATTGTAGTGTTAGGGTCCTATCACACAATAAAAAAAAGAAAGGACAAGCATAGGGGACGGGGACACCTAGTAAAACTTGTTTCGAAAATCAAAATTGAAAATTTTATATTTCTTCACATTTTGATGGTTTCTGAACATTTTGGCATACCTTAGAAAAATATTGATGTGTGTTTGTATGTTTGGATACTATTTTTTGTCCACGTTTTCGGGCGCACGGATCAACTGATTTGAATGGTTCAAAAAGCATTCGATTCCTATTAATAGGGAGATGTGCTGATTAGTTTTTGGCAAAGGCAGTTCCAGCCGTTACGAAGATACTAAGCAAAGATTGCAGAAAATATAAATCGAGTTTTTGAGAGAACGGAGTATTTAAATGATCTAAAAAACGTTCAATTTTTAATGATTGGGAGAAGAGGTGATTAGGTTTTGGCAAAGGCAGGTCCAGCCATTTTTAAGATACAGAGCTAAATATGCAAAAAAATGGCAGTTTTTGAGAGAACTAAGCGTCCGATTTGAACGATTCAAAAAACTTTCTGCTTATGTTGACGAAATGATTGCTTTTGGGGAAAAAATCTTTTCTAATTTTCAAAAAAAATTTTTTTGAATATCGAAAAATAGTTCTAAACATCACTTATAATAATCTATTTGAAAGCATTTAATATTCTTCGAATATTTTATTAGGGTACTGGAAGTTCCAGCAATTTGCCTTAAGGCACGATGCCATACACCACTAGTTTTCTTTTATATATTTATGATATATATTTATTGAAATATAGACATTCAAAAATATATAAAAAATAACAAAAATCGGATCAAAACTTTCCTTATCTAATAACGTTTTATTATGCTTTTGATTATTTATTAGAATTTCCTATGACATTGACCTCAAGGAATTCGTGTCAAAAAAAAAGTCACCCGAAGTCGTTTAGAATAGTATTTAAAAACTCAGGTTAATTATTTATTATTGAAATTTTAATTAGGTAATATTAAATATTGAAGCGGTAGAACTTTGTGTATAAAATTTATAAAATCATGGAATTATTTTGCAAATAATCACAATATTTAATTATAACTTTATTCATTCAAAAACGTTATTAATAAATATGGTTCCCTACATAAAAATGTTCGCTTTCTCTGCTAATTTCTGGTATAGAGATAAGAAATTGTAAAAAATAATCTATATAAAAACATAGATTTTTATACATTTACTTTATTATTATTATTTGAAATGAAATATTAAGTTTGCAACATTGCTATTATTTTTGCATAAAATAAAAATAATTTTTATGTAGTAATAATGAAAGTTCTTGTAATCATTTTATTGCTAATAAATTTCCAAAATTCTCTTTTGCAAATTGTGGAACCACCAACGAATAATGGAGTTACTTTGAACGAGATTTTAGAAGCCGGTTTTGATATGGAGGACTTCCAGTCCATGATGCAAGGAGACCTTGAAGACCTCCAGGACAAAATGGATAATTTGAAACAACGTGACGTCAAAAAATTCGAAAAATTATTGATATTTATAAACGAAAATAGAAAACGTCAAGAATTGCTGAATAGATCCTTAGCTGCCAGTTGTGGTGATGTGATTGCAAAAGGGGAATTTGACCGAGCTGGTGATTTGTTGAAATTTGTTTTTACTTCTAACTACGATGAGGTTATTTTTAGAAGTTATAAAAGTAATTCAATAAATTTTGGGAAAATTATGGATTTTGCTAATTTTGTAGATAAAGAAAATGATGATAAAACTTTATTTTTATATCAAGAATTGTTTAAGCAATCGACTATCAACGCATCATCAAGTGATTTGATGAGCATGGCGACTTTCATTCTTAATCGGTATAACATTTATAAATGGAATGAATTGAAGAAAAATGTTTTGAATTCTTTGGTTTCCAAAGCTAGTGCAGAAATTTTGGGCTACTTAAATATCGAAGTAGAAAAAATTGATAGAAAATCTTATGATCTTATTGATAAAGTTGATGAACTGAATCACGATGCTGGTTTGCAGCTTGTTAGTGAAATTGTTCAGCAACTTTGGAAAAATGATATCCAGAAATGGCGTATTAGAAAGTTTCTTAGCCAATGTTTAAATTTACCTTTACGGGTTCAAGGATTTTCCACACTGTACGATTTTCAGAAACATGATGAACTGAATTACAAATACGTCTTCTCACTCACTGTAGATCTTGGAAAGACATTTAGAGAACCTGAAATTGACGAAGAAACTAAAAATAAAGTAACAGCCCTTGCAGAAAATATACCTTCACCAATTAGAGGCGCAGTTTATTCGGCTTCACTTTGTATCCAGAATAAAATGACTAACAATTACTTAAAAGTTGCGAAATTGGGAAATCGAAATATTTATCTTTCAAAAGGCGATCCGACTACTGATCGCTTGAAATGGCAATTTTATTTTCAGAATTTAGACATAATTGTATTTAGTATGAAAAATTTCCAATCAAAACAGTTTGTTTTTGATGAATCATATTATTCTATAGAATGTCATGATTCTAGTGAGGGATTCTATTTTAAACTTGCAAACGATCAAAAGTATTTAAGGGATGATGAAGGACAACTGAAATATTCTGTGGCAAAAGATGAGTTTTCGAAATGGATTTTGAAAGCATGTTCTAAATAAGAATCACAGTTCATCTCATATTTTAGGTAGATACGGTGAAATATGGTGAAATATATTATTTATATAAAATAGATCTTTTATTGTAATTTATAATTATAAGAAAAATGTTGGCAATGAAATTTTCTAAATAAACATAATGATGTTTTAAAACCAAATAATTTTTTAATAAGTCTTTCATACATTAGTCGACTCTTTTACAGTTGATAAAACTACAAGACAATAATTTAATACAAAGCTAAATTTTTAAATTTAACTAGTGATGTAACTTAAGGTAAATTGCTGGAACTTCCCAACTGAAAACTAAATTAAAAAACAAACTTTGCAAAACTTTGAAAAAATTAGTTTTATGAGAAATTTTGAAATTTTTGAAAAAAAAAAGACTTTTGAAAATCTTGATTTTTTAATTTTTTGTTTTTCTTTGTATTTTGATTTTTTTCCAAATTGAAATTTAAGTAATCTATGAATAATTAAAATAGTTTATTTCATTGCTTGTTTCATATCAGAAGGTTAAAAGGTGATTTTTTTATGTATAACAAATGATGAAGAGATATCTTATCAAAATGTGCAAGAAAAACCCTGAAAGTTTAAATACAAAAATTCCGTAGTCTTATCTGTTTATAATAACAAATGTTACCAGAAAGTAATTATTTATAATTAACTTCCCGAAGGAGAAATTTGTGTTTTTGTAAAAAAAATATGTTTTTTCGAGTCATTCTGAATCGAATGAATGAATGAATGAATAATATAGCGTTCGTCTGTTTTGCGCGACGATCAGCCGAGCCGTTTTTTGTAAATTTTACCAAAATAGCTGAATCTCAATTCTTATTGATCAAGTTTATTATATATAAGTATTGGGGAGTTCATGCAACTTGCCTCAATGCAAAGTGCTACTTACAACTAGTTTTTTATGAAGTTCAATAGGTGTAAAAAAGTATAGAGTACTGGTTTATGTTTAAACTAGTGGTGTATGGTACTGTGCCTTAAGGCAAATTGCTGGAACTTCCCGCACCATAATGAAAAATTTGAGGAATATTAAATGTTTTCAAATAGATTATTATAAATACTGTAACATTGTCTAATATTTATGAGAATTGTATAAAATGAATTGCAAAGTTAAAATTATTTACTTAAAGTATATAAGTTAGCTTTAGAACTTTAGCCAGAATTGAAATTATGATCTGAATTATTTTTAATATACAAAAAAAAATTTTTTTTCAAAAGCAATTGTGTCGTCAACACAATAAGAAAGTTTTTTGAATAATTGAAATCTGGTGCTTTGTTCTCTCAAAAACTGCCATTTTTTGTACATTTAGTTCGGCATTTCCGAAACGGCTGGACCTACCATTGCCAAAAACTAATTACCACTTCTCCCCGTCATTGCGAATTGTATATTTTTTTGATCATTCAAATTGGTTGATCCGTGCGCCCAAAAATGTGGATGAAAAATTGTATCCATACATACATACACACACACATCCAAACGTGAGGTATGTCAAAATCCATTTTTCTGAGGTATGCCAAATGTTCAGAAACCTTTAAAGCGTAATGTAAACATTTTTAATTTCGATTTTTGGATGATTACAATAACTCATTATTCTACGGAAAATTAATAATAATTCTGTTCTGTGGAATGAAAAATACGATGAGCCATTTATTTGAATGTAATAAAATACAAACTAATTATATAGTCTAAAGTAATGGTTATAACCTTGCATTAACTGTATATATTTTTAACAATAAACTGATCTAATATTTATCACAATTGTGTACATTTAACATGATTTGAAAATCCATTTCGCAAAATCATCCTTCAGCATAGAGAATCCCAGTTCGCCTTCATCGTCTCGTATATACTGCGTTATTCCAGGTTTTCATCAATCTCAAATATAAACCTTCACTAAAATCACGACATTCTATAACAAATGATATAGGATCCGTAGAATTTGCACCATTTATATTCATAAAATTGATATGACTATTGGAATGACTATTTCGTATCACAACATCAACAAAATACCAAGCACGACGTTCGAAAGTCCATTTTGTTCTCTCATAAGAGGTATCTCCCAAGGATAAATAAGTTTGCCAATTATCGTTGATCTTATATTTGGCGACTTTTAGGTAATTTTTGGATTTTTTATTTTGAATACATAGTTTGTCGGAGTAAGCAGCACTTCTGATGGAAGCAGGAAGACTTTCAGCGAGCATTATTAGTTGTTTTTCAGTTTCTGCATCGATTTCAGGATCTTTGAATGCTTTTTGTAGTTCTCTTGCCAAGTGGAAGACGGTGTACCGGAATA